GCCGTCCATTTAAATGGACTCATCTGCCTTCTCCTCCTTCCCTTTGTACAGTTTCACTTCAGTCCATCACTGTCATCACTGTCGGTCGTTCCCTCCGTTACTGGAACACACTGCAACCACCACCACGTACTTTTGCTGGGATTCTCTTTTCTCTCAACTGCCAATGAAGAGTGCCTGCAGCCTGGTGCCAACGGACGCTCGGCAGCGGCCGCTGACATTGCTGGGGCAACAGTAGAGGCAGAGGCAGAGGCAGCAGGCCATGCTGCTACTGTTTTCAGGGCTTCTCTCCCTGAACTCCTCCACTACCCTCGTGTGTGTGGTGTCCATGCCAGCTGCATGCCCATTGGCGGCGGTGGCGGCGGGTGGTGCTCCTCTCTCAGTGTTGAAGAGAGTGCAGTGCACCACAGAGCTCTTCTGCTCTTCTGCAGCCACTGCCACTACCTCTGCCTACACTGAAAGTGAAAAAGTGCGAGAGAGAATCTTCGATAGTCGTTTTTGGAAACTTGCGCGAGAGAGCGAGAGAACATTTGGTCGTCTGCCGTACTGCAGCCGCCGCCGCAGCTGCTTCATTCTCTCTCATTCGTTTTTGGTTTTGCACAGACGCTGAACGCACGCAGGATATTCTACATTGCCGCCGCCGTCGCCACCTCCGTTGCCGCAGGATTCTGCCGAGCTTTTCTTCTCACTTTCTCACTTTCACTCCGGGCAATCACTGAACACACGCTCGATACAGCAGCAGCCAAAGCGGCCGTGGCAACACACACACACACACCGGACAAAACTTGATGGAGCTCACCGATTTGTGACACCGCCAGCAGCACCGCCGCCGGGCCGCATCAGTTGATCATCACCATCATCATCAGCTGAACCCCCTCCCTCTGCAATCTCTACAAATGTGATCTCCACTTCTTCACCACATCTTTTTTGTTTCTTTCTTTCTTCGTGATACCTCCACAGTGTGAATCATCCTCCAGTTCAAATTCTCCCGTTTTTTCGCACCTCAAGTTTTCAAAACCTTGATCGTACAAAGAAATCGCCTNACCATCATCATCAGCTGAACCCCCTCCCTCTGCAATCTCTACAAATGTGATCTCCACTTCTTCACCACATCTTTTTTGTTTCTTTCTTTCTTCGTGATACCTCCACAGTGTGAATCATCCTCCAGTTCAAATTCTCCCGTTTTNGCCATCATCATCAGCTGAACCCACCCCATCTGCAATCTCTACAAATGTGATCTCCACTTCTTCACCACATCTTTTTTGTTTCTTTCTTCGTGATACCTCCACAGTGTGAATCATCCTCCAGTTCAAATTCTCCCGTTTTTTCGCACCTCAAGTTTTCAAAACCTTGATCGTACAAAGAAATCGCCTCCAGTTTGCTTCAGCAAATCAAAACCAAATTTTTTTGGCACTGCCCTTCTTCAAGTTTCCCTCTTCTTTCAAAATGCCGGCTAGTCTTCTCTACGAGTTNCCCTTCAGTTTGCTTCAGCAAATCAAAACCAATTTTTTTGGCACTGCCCTTCTTCAAGTTTCCCTTTTCTTTCAAAATGCCGGCTAGTCTTCTCTACGAGTTTGAGCCACANTCCAGTTTGCTTCAGCAAATCAAAACCAAATTTTTTTGGCACTGCCCTTCTTCAAGTTTCCCTCTTCTTTCAAAATGCCGGCTAGTCTTCTCTACGAGTTTGAGCCACAGGCCAACTTCAGCAAGCACCACCACCACTCCTCTTCTCTTCACCATTCTTCTCATCACAATGGCAGCAACGGCGCCGCAGCTCAGCTCGAGGACCGGAGAGCCTTCGAGCTCGCCCTGGAGCTCAGTCTTCTCGGCCTGGGCACGGACAATAACAACAGCAGCAGCAGCAGCAACGGTCTTCTAAATGGTCACCACCATCAGCAAAGCCACCATCAGCAGCACCACAACTCAGAGCAGAACCTCTCTGCGACAATCGCCAGTCTGGGGTCTGCCCTGATGGGGGGTTCAGCGAGTGGAGGTCTCCTGGGACATCAACAACAACAGCAGCAACAGCAGCCACAGCAGCAGCACATGGCACATCCGCTGAATCCCTTCGAATCCGAGTCGCGCATTGGCGCCAAGAAGAGCCAGAACACCACCGAGTGCGTTCCGGTGCCCTCTTCGGAGCACGTGGCGGAGATTGTCGGTCGACAGGGTAAGTGGACGAGTTTTGTAAATTTTAAATTAAAGTTTACATAAAAATCTCATTAGATTAATTTACTTTTTGATAACTGAATTTTAGCATGCTTTCAAACAAAAATATTGAAAAATATAATGATAACAATCTCAGCTCTTAGAGCACCAACAGTAGCCACAGCAAATGATGCGAAGCAGAGAGATTTAGCTAAAATTTTCTACACCAGCTAGACTATTTATAACCACCACTAGCAACACTTACAGACAGCACAAATCAAAGCAAAATTGCAGCACACTTCATGTCTTGCCTTTCTTTCTCTCTTTCCTTTCCTTTCCTTTCCTACTATTTTCCTCTTCCCCCCCTTCATGCGTCCTCTACCACCAAAACAAAAACTAATTTTCAAACCAATCCCAAACTTGCAGGTTGCAAAATCAAAGCCCTTCGCTCAAAGACGAACACGTACATCAAGACGCCGGTGCGCGGCGAGGAGCCCGTCTTCGTGGTGACCGGCCGCAAGGAGGACGTGGGCGCCGCCAAGCGGGAGATCCTCTCCGCGGCGGAGCACTTCAGCCAGATTCGCGCTCAGCGGAAGAACAACCCCGGCTCGGTGGGCCCCGCTCCGAATGCCCACCTGCCCGGCCACGTGACCGCCTCTGTGCGGGTGCCCTACCGCGTGGTGGGCCTGGTGGTTGGCCCGAAGGGCGCCACCATCAAGCGCATCCAACAGCAGACGAACACGTACATCATCACGCCCTCACGGGAGAAGGACCCCGT